GGCACGAGCGGTGATGTCAGCGGTGATGCCATGAGGAGCACCACCACCAGTGGATGCCCCCAGCAGAACCAGCAGTGACGCCACCACCACGGCCACCAGTGATGGCACCAGAAATGGCACTAGAGGGCCATCAGAAATGTCACCAGTGCCACCATGAGCAGCACCACCAGTGCTGCCACCAGTGCCACCAGCAGAACCACCAGGGCCACCAGCAGAGCTTTAACCAGTCCCCGAGCCCAGCGCTGCCCCCCACCCAGAGCCACCACTGCCCATCCCCGTGGCCAGCAGCGTCCCCACCAGAGACTGACAGGACAGGGCTGCAGGGTACAAAGTGCCTTTATTGCCACCGCCGTGCTCCCCGAGGCGTGGGGACCCCAACCCCCGGTGGCGGGGGGGCTCCGGGCCCCTCATGTCTGCAGCTGCAGCAGGGTGGGGGTCGGGGGGGCCGGGGGCTGCGCCAGGCGGTGGCAGCCCTCCAGGTCCCCCAGCACCCCGAAAAGCCGGCTCAGCCCTTCGGGGACGGGGGCATCTGCAGGGGGGGGGAGCAGCAGTGAGACCCCACAACCACCACAGCCCTCCCTGAGCCCCAGGAACATGTCCCACCCAGAGCATCCCCAGTGGGGTCCCCAAAATCCTCCCCCCCCAAACCTACCTTCACCCTGGGGGCCGTTTTGGGCGTTCTCCGGCTCCAGCAGCTCCCAGTACTTTTCCCTGGGGAGAGGGGGGAGAAGAGGGATGGGCCCGTGGCAGGAGACGGGGGTGCAGGGGGGGGTCTCCCCAGGGCAGGGGCTCACCTGAGGATCCCTCGGAGGCCCTGGAGGTGGTGGAAGAGGCGCTGAGCCTCCACCGCAGGGTCCAGGGGGTCGCTCCAGTCCTGCAGGGTGACGCCATGCCGCGTCCGGTCGCACCCGAGCCCTGTGGGACGGCAGGCTCACGACATGGCGGGGAGACCCCACCAGCACCCCCACGGGGGTCCTGGGTGCCCTCCCCGGTACCTGTCCTCTCCCTCTGGTGGCAGCAGCTCCATTTGTCCCCCCGGAAGACGCCGGGGTGGTAGGCACGGAGGACACGGGGGTTGTTGACGCACACCTTGCGCAGGGCGGACAGCCACTGGTTCAGCTCGTTGACGCACTGCGGGGAGGGCAGTGAGGGGGCTGTGACACCCCTTGGGGTGTGTGTGTGTCCCCTTGTCCCCATCCCACCTTGCACTGGAGGTAGGCTGTCTCCTGCTGCCCGCCTGCGCCCACATAGACCACCTGCATGACATGGGAGCTCCCGAAGCTCTTCTCCTCCACTTTCTCGGCAGCGAGGATGTCAGCCAGGGGGATGGTGCCGCTACGCTGACGGGGGAGACATGACACAGTGGGTCAGTGCCACCCACCCTGCCACCACCCTCACCGCCCCCCGGCACCCTCCTACCTCAGCACCGGGGCTCTTGCTGAAGCTGAGGGCCTCCCCAGTGAGGCAAAAGTGGACCTTCTTGGCAGCGGCGGCGGCGAGCAGTGGCCCCTTGCCCCGCGTCTTGTGGACGAAGAGCGGCCCCTCCTTCACCACCGTGGCAGGGGGGCCCAGCGGCCGCCCCTCACCTTCCTCCTCCTCCTCCTCCTCTTCCTCCATCCCCACCAGCCGGGTGATGAAGTCCTTCATCTGGGCGATGCCCTGCTGCAGGGCGGGCAGCAGCGGGGCCAGCCAGGCCTCCTTGGCCCGCCCGGCCGCTGGCTCCATGTTGCCCACTATCTGGACAGCCTGGAGACCCCCAGGGACAGTGGTGTCACCAGCAGCGGACCCAGCCCTCCCCATTAGGAAGCAGTCAGGCACCCCAAAAACCCCATCTGGATGACACCCCCCCGCAGTGTGCCCCCGTCCCACCTTGGCCAGAAGCAGCAGTGTGCGGCTGGTGCGCGCATCGCCGTGCGTCTCCCGCAGGTGGAAGAGCTTGGGGGTCATGACGGCCGGTGAAAAGAAGCGGAGGCAGAGGAAGCTGGTGACGGCCACAAACTTGGCATGCTGCAGCCAACCGAGGTGAGGGAGACATGTGAGGGTCTCTCCCAAAGCATGACATCCCCAATGGGTCTGTCCCAACGTGGGACACCCCTGGGCACCGCCTACATCGATGCTCCAGGGACAAGGGGGCTGGCTTCCAGCACCAGGGTTGTTTGGGTGCAGCATGGCCCTGCTGTCCCCCTGCACCCTGTCCCTGGGGGGCTGCCCCCATGCCCAAGAGGGGACCCCATCAACCAAAGCTGGGGACTGCACCCAGTGCACCCAGTCCCCTGGGGACACCCCTGTTTGACCCCCGGTCCATCCCCTGCCGCAGCCTGACCTGGTGCTGGGGGAAGCGCTCCCCGACGCGCTGGAAGAGCTGCCGGAAAGCGGCGCGGATGATGGGGGGACACGCTGGGGCTGACTTGACAATGGCACCCAGCAGCTCGCCCAGGTAGGACTGGAGGTGCTGGCGGCCCTGCTCGATCACCTCGCCCTCCGTCTGCACCCGGTGCAGCCCTGAGCACCTGTGGGCACC